GGGCTCGCCTCGAGCCGACCATGCGTCGCCCTATCGGCGGCCAGTTGGGACACCACTTTGAAACCACTTTGGGGCCATTCGGCCCGACTGAAAACCACTCCAAAACCATGTCTGTTAACCCCCAGCTGTGCGTGCACATTCCCTCCACAAGCCCAGCCCCTCTCCTGAGTTCCAGGCGGGCGGCGGCGGCGCGGCTACCCATTCGGGTGGGCGACCCCCCTGGTCCAGAAAGCGACGTGGCGATTTTCCGACAGATCATTTAGAGCACGCTGACGGAGGTCTTCAGTGCGCGCGATCCAAGGGTCCTCCACCTCGCAGGTGGCCGAGCAGAAGTACAGCCTGTGCTCGATGGTGTCCCTGCCCTCGCCGCAGCGCTCGCAGTCGTCGGAGCACATGTAGCCCGCCGCTAGGGCCCTCGCTCCCGTCCAGATTCCAGCCAGCGCTGCCGCCTCCAGGGCGGCTGCCTCCTTGTGGCGCTCCTGGCGGCGCATCCCCTTCAGGTTGACTCTCAGCATGTGGAGGTCGCCGCCGCCGCCGAGGCCCGCTCCGAGGGGGTGGTCACCAGCCTGGCGCCACAGCTGGCGCAGCACGGTGCTTTTTTCGCCTTCGCGAGGTCCTGCGCGCTGTCGTCGTCGTTGCCAAGGTGCCGCCACTCGGAGCCCTCGTCATCGATCCAGACGTCGGGCGCCCGCGGTATCCAGCCGATGTCGCGCAGGGCCATGATGATCGCGCCCGTGGGCCCCGTGACGCAGTTCCACCGAGCACGAGGTCGCATGTACAGGAGCCCCTTGAGCACCGCACGCCGTCCAGGTCGACCACGGTCTCGCAGCTCCGGGTGTTGCGCCCGCAGGTGGAACCACTCCTTAACTTGCTGCGCCAAGGCCGCCATCTTGGGCTCGTCGTCCTGGTAGTGCAGCAGTAGGGTGGTGGAGGTGCCGCGCCCGCCCACGGTGTGGCCTGTGAGGTCCGCTGCCTGGGCCCGTCGCCGCGTTGTCGTCGAATGGGGGCGCTCCGATGATCGGGTCGGCGAACTGGTACTTCGCCCTGATGTTGGCATTGTGCAGCATGACGCCCTTGGTCCTCTTGTTGCCGCGCCCCAGTCGGCGGAATAAACTTGTTCGCGTAGCCCTCGCCCTCGCCGCCGACATCCGCGTCCTGGCCGTCTTGTTGCTGCGCCTGGTGCCCATGGTGCAGTCGATGCCAAGGTCCTTCGCCGTGGAGGCCCTCTGCACACGGATGCCAGTCTCCTGGTACACGTGGGAAAGCACCGCCATCTCGTCTTTGGGCCTCGTCATCATCAGGGTGGACTTGGGCGAACCACGCAGGCCGAGGTCAAGGCAGCCCTGCACCAGGGTGACCGCGACGTCCTTGGTCTTGTCGAGGACGTCGTCGGCCGTGCCCTCTACGCGGCTGTGCACGTCGTCCACGTATTGCCGCACCCTTGCCAGAGGTGCTCTCGCATGGGCTGCCTCCAACAGGTGGTGTAGGAAGGCTCTGGCCCAGTGGTTGGCCTTCCCGCAGCCAGGGAGGATCGAGCAGTCGGGGGCGATGGTCGAGCTGAAGGCCCCGTGTGACTTGACCGCTCGCGGCGCCAAATACGTGAGGCAGCGCAGGTGCAGCTCGACGGGCGGCACCTCGAGGGAGATGCCCTTGTGGATCATCAAAGCCAAGTCCATGAAGTCGTAGAACTTCTCCACGTCCATCAAGAAGTTGCTCTGCTCGGCCACGCCGACGCGCGCCCTAGTCTCGTCGAGCACCATGGCGAGCAGCGCAGCCTGCAGCGCGGAGCTCCCGCGCACCGCAGCGTCCCAATGTCCAGCTCGCTTGTCACACCACTCGGTCATGGTAGCCTTGGTCATGTGGCCCCAGATGCGCACGGGCATGGGGAGGAGGCCGATGTCCCTCTCGTTGCCGACCACCTGCTTGGCGCCCTTCGGTAGGAGGGCGTACCAGTTGTGTAGGAGCTGGTGCGGCCAGGCCAAGGCGCGCTCCACCATGTTGAGCAGGGTGGTGAGCGCCTCCTGCCCCTGGCCAGGGACCGCGAGGAGGTGGCCTGGCGTCCACTGATCAGGGCCCTTGCCCGTGGCCTTGGGGAATGTCCTGGCGGCGTTCACCATGTCGTCTCTCGTGTGGTAGCGCCGTTCTGGCAGGGTCCGCAGCTCACCCAGCGCCCCGCGCAAGGCAGGCACGCGGTCGGGCTTACTGGTCCAGCGGTCACGCCAGCGACTTGCCCTGGCCTCGGTGGAGGCCTGCACAGTGTCGCAGAACTCTCCAGGGGCGCCTCGCATGGATCCCTGGGTAATTGCCTTGGCCCATGCTTGCATCTCGCTACGGGTCTGTTGCCACGCCAAGCTGGCATGCCTAGCTGCTCTCGCCTGTACCTTGAGCGCAAGGGCCTGCCACTCGGGGAAGTTCCAGGAGTAGCGGATGCGCTCACCGTGGCCGAGGACCCTGTCGTCGTCCAGGTGCACCCGCCGCTTCTTCCCCTTGGTGGCCTGCAGCTGGTCCTCGGGCACGGACTCCTGGGCGGTGAGGAGGTGCCTGATGCTGCTGATGGTGTCGGAGACGATGTCCTGCACCTTGCGCTGGTACGCAGTGTGGCGGTGGCGCCCAAGTGTGATGAGC